TTTGGTGAGTGAATGTTTGTCCAGATCTGGGAATGGGGGAAAGATTGTCATCCACACAATGCAAAGAATTGCTTGAATAAGGAAACAGCAGAGCACAATGGAGTTGGCCAATCTTTTTCCCACCCATTTCCTCATGTTGGATCCTGGCCTTGTTGCCATGAAAGCCACCACCACAGTAATGGTTTTGGCCAAGACACAAGAAATGGCCATTGAGAAAGTCATGCCAAAAGTGGGCTGTCGCAGAAGACAGGTGATTCTCCTTGGTTGGCCAAGAAAGAGCAAATGACAGAGGAAACAGAGCAGAAGAGAGATGAGGAGAGTATAGGAGAGGTCCCTGATTTTATTCCAATCACTCACCTTTTCGTTCTCCCGCTGTGGCACTGTTTGAGTGAAAGCCGAACAGATTCCATTCTTAGAGCAGCCTCCTTTGTAAAGTTAGATATTTGTACCATGAGAGACTCTGATCATCTTTAGTAGGCCTGACTTAAACTCACTGCTGGTGAGACTGAAAATGTAGGTATTCCTGCCTTAACAGTACTTATAAACATAGAAATCTGCAGGTGAAATGGACTGTAAAAATCATCCAATCCTATTTCTTTCTCAGTGGAGGAACCACTTAAAACATCACTTTCACATGGGATCATGATACATTTGCTGGCCTGAAGACACCTTCCAGTCAGGAATAAATCCAACTCCCTGTAACACACACACACACACACAAGCACACCTACATACATAAAAACACATTTACACAGAGTGAGATACAGACAGACAGACAGACACATGACTTAGATAGAACTGAACAGGTATCAGATAAGAGGAGCAAAGCATTTGTCCAACAAGAAGGATGCATGAACAAGAGGTAGATAAGTCCTAATCCATGAATCTGTGCATGATAGAGGAGCTACTATACATGAAAAGAAGGGTCACCCATAAGTCATTCCTTAAAATATTAAAATCTCATCTCTTCTGAGTTGGCTTGATGATGTTGTTTTAAGGGTGATACCTTCCCTGTTGATGAAGACTGGAGCTTGGTTCCAAGCATTAAAAGAAGTTACGTCAGTTAGGTCAGTATGGACAAGATATAGAGATGAATGTCCCAGCAAAAGGTATGCCTTTGTTATTCATTTATATAGCTCAACACAAGGTTTCCTATGCATATGTTTTAGATGAGAATATCATTGGGCTTAATACCTTCCTCCATTAAGCATTTCCTATATATTTGTGTAAATGTCAAGAATATGATCTAACTCTCATTGGAACAACACACACACAAGACAGACAGACAGACAGACAAAGCACATAAAAACAGCAGAAGAAATATGTAAATATATCAGACCAATGCACTCCCCCAAATCTACAGAGGCCTGACCTGTGGAATCTTGTACAGCCTTAAAATGTCTGCCACCTGGAATGAAATATCAGAAGTTAATCCTGCAATCACAGCTATCACATTCTTTTGGGAGTTACATTTGTAATTGAGGACAAATGTATGTGATTTGAAGAGAAGCTGCAGAAGACTGTGATAGAACAGCTTTTCCTGGCAATAGCTGTCCACGATGCAGTATCCAAGGGTGATGTTGGACAAGATTTTCAGATTCCCATTGATCTCATTTATAGCAAATTGCAAGGCTAAATTGTGCTGGCAAAAATTTGGGATCATTCTGAAAATGAAACGATATACATAATTCATATGAACACACCACACAGATCAAACATCCTGCACATTCTTCAAGGAAACCCATGACCCTCAGCCAAGACTAACCATCTGATGCTTATGCCCACAAATACCTATTCATGGCTGGGCTGTGAGGAAATAGCATGGACAAGGTCAAAAGAAGGTCCAAGAGTTGAGTTTTATAGGATCTTCAATGAAGCCAACCTTGGACAACCTGCATCGACACCAGAAAATCTTATAACTTTAGTCTATCCTGGGGAGGGGAAGGGGGAGTCCCAGAAAAAAAATGAAAATCATGGATTTCTTTGCCAGTGGAATTATAAGTTAATGTGGTCACAGATGAGTCAAGGTTGATCAAATTAGCTACTTAACCCTTTCAAAGCTCATTGAAATTCTGATCTCCTCCCAAGATCATGGCACAACTATGATAAATTTTACATATTTCAAAGGCATATAACCACAAAATAGCTACAACGTATACTATCATGTTCAAAAATGAAAAAAAAATATATTCCCACTAAATTGTTTGCAAGAAAATTGCATTAATGTGTCCAAAGTTCTATGTTGTACTCTAAAAGTATCTCAGTTCACAAGCAGTTAAAGAAAAATATCTCCCATTTAGTCACACTAATACACCAAAATGGAAAGGAAGAGGTTGCCAAACGTGATGTTGGAAGGCCAAGGATATTTTAAACAGTAAAATCTATGCAAGGAATTTAGAGGACTTTCCTTACCTTTTTGACATCATCTTTTGTGATGAAGTGAAAGCTGGAAATAATGCAAGACAGACACTTGAATAACCTGAGATGTGATCCCACCAATAACATAATCCCCAGGCTGGAAGGACTCATGTGAAAAAGAAACAAGCTCAATTCTACCCATTACTTCGCATGCTAAGTGAAGCAACCTGAGTAGGAACAGCATGTGCCGCACCATTTGAACATTCCCTTTTCTCTTTAGACACATTTCTGGAATCCTATGTTATATGTTGTGTTTTTAAAAGGCTTCCACAGGAAGTAATGTATTCCCCTTTGCTGGAAGTCTTTAAGACAAAGATGGATGGTGATCTAACAGAAGGTGCAAAAGACCCTTTCCTGTGAAGAGGGTTGGATTAGAAAGAATTCTAATCTAATTCTAATTCCCTCCAACTCTGGTATTCTTTTATTTTAAGTAGAGACCATCAACATGTTGTCCCTCTCTCATCAGCAGGGAGCACAATGTAGGAGAGATTTGCAAGAGGCAATTATGGAAACCAGGAAAAGGAACAGGAGGCTGATTAACCTATCTGAGTAGGACCTTTGCTCCAATCTTCAATATCAACACTGAAGGGTTTTTCTAAATCACCCTGCACATGTAGTCATTGTTTTATCATGATCTTTAAAAGTCACCAGAACATGGCCAAGAAAAATAAATGATAGTGGTTTCAGTAATTGCAAGAGAAAATAACTGCATCAGTCAAGTCAGAATAATAGCTTTGTTTGTAAACATGCTATCCACCCAGATTCCCTTTCCAGGTTGAACTAATATTGTTTTCTCTGAACACTCCTTGTCTCCATAGGAAAGTAATAACTTAAAAAAAAGTTTTAGAGAGACTCTGGTAAAGGTTGAGATCATTAAAAAAAAAAGGTGGTAAAAGACGGGGCAGGTTCTTCCCAAAAATAATTTATATATTCAATTTTTTTGGTTAAATATTTACAAAAATGCTAAATTATCAGAACAATAGAGTTTGAAGGGACCCTAAAAATCTTTTAATCTAACCCCTTGCTCAAGCAGGATACCCCATATCATTTCAGGCAAAATGGTTTCTCAATCTCTTTTTAAAAAAACCTCCATTATTGGAGCACCTACAACTTCCAGAGGCAAACAGTTCCACTGATTAATTGTTCTAACTGTCATGAAATTTCATTTAGATTAAAACTTTATTACTGTAATCAATTCAATCCATTTATGAGCAAAAGAAATCTTCAAAAATCTGATACCCACCATAAATTTGAAGTCCAATAAATTATGAACATACATGATTGATTGGTGAATGAATAAATTATTACAGATCACAGGGCCAATAAATACATATAAACACAGCAAAGTAACATGTTAAAGGACAAAGGAAAATACAGTAAAAACAATGAGAAAAATATTCCATGTTCATAGTCTTATAGCAATGTTCAACTCTCCACCATGTCAGTAATAATAGTCCAAAATTTATTTGTTTGTTTGTTTGTTCGTTCATTCATTCATTCATTAGTTCATTCATTCATTTATTTATTTATTCATTCATTCATTCAATTTATTTTCTACCCATCTTGCCATGGGGGTACTTTGTGTGGCTTACAACATTAAAATGAAAAAAAAAGGTTAAAAAAAAGGAAAAATAACAACAGTAAAGTAATAAAACAATAAAAATAAATAGAAGAGGTACAAACATAACAAATTAAAACGATGAGCAAAGGGAGAACAGGAAGCCCAGGGGGGAGGGTGGGTCAGCTAACAATAGCACTAACAATAGCACTTAGACTTATATACTGCTTCACAGTGCTTTTCAGCCCTCTCTAAACAATATTTACAGAGTCAGAATATTGCCCCCAATGATCTAGTTATTCTAGCAACCACTTTCAGTGATGCATTCCCTTATTGGTCCTCAGTCCAATTGGCAGAGCCAGGTCTTCAGGCCCTTGCAAAAGGATAGTTGGGTGGGGGCAAGCCTCACACCAGGGGACAAGATTTTTCAGAGGGCAGGTGCCACAGCAGAGAAGCGCTTTTTTGGGATCCTGTTAGTTGCAGTTCCTTGACCAATGGGATCCTTTGCAAGCCTTCTCTGCCAACACAAATAGCGTAGGCTTGTCTTACCTGGACAAGACAGTTCATCAAGTAATCTGGACCTACTGTATGTCATAGAGGGCTTTAAAGATCATAACCAGCAAAAAATATTTTCACAATCAGAATCAGAATAGAGCTGGAATGGTCCTTGGCAGTCTTCCAGTCCATCCCCTGCTCAAACAGGAAAACCTATACCATTTCAGATAAGTGACTGTCCAGTCTCTTCTTAAAAACCTCCAGTGATGAAGCACCCACAATGTCTGAAGGCAAGCTGTTCCACTGGTTATTTTTTTTCCATTTAGTAAAACACAGCTTTACCAGGCCAACAAAGCAAATCAAATTTTGTTACTTTAAGTTCTATCAGAAGAAGATTTTTATTCTATTGATCTGTACAGTATCAATGTTTTTCAGCTTTTAACATAGACAAACCATGTAATATGAAATGTAAAAGAATCACAAGGCTAAAAGAAGCAAATATCTGAGGATTCATCAGTAAATCGGTCTCTTAATTTTTCCTCTTTGTCAACTGTTCTTTGCTGTTCAACTCTGGCTTAAACAGAATAATATAACATTTTGGGACAAAGATGCAACCGAGTAAGCTGGCACTGGAGGCCAAGATGGAGAAGATCTCCACAGCAAGCTTCTCTTTTTCTTTGGTGCTCAGGTAGGCTGGGAGGAAAGCTAACCAGATGCTGCAAAACACCAGCATGCTGAAGGTGATGAACTTGGCTTCATTGAAACTCTCTGGAAGGTTCCTAGCTAGGAAGGCCATCACAAAACTGATAAGGGAAAGAAGACCCATGTATCCAAAGACAAGGAAAAACATCACAATGGGGTCTTCATTACATTCTACAATGATATATTTGGTGAATGAATGTTTGTCCAGATCTGGGAATGGGGGAAAGATTGTTATCCACCCAACACAAATAATTGCTTGAATGAAAAAACAGCATAGAACAACGGAGCTGGCTAGTCTTTTTCCCACCCATTTCTTCATGTTGGATCCTAGTCTTGTTGCCATGAAAGCCACCACCACAGTGATGGTTTTGGCCAAGACACAAGAAATGGCCATTGAGAAAGTCATGCCAAAAGTTGGCTGTTGTAGAAGGCAGGTGACTCTCTTTGGCTTACCAAGGAACAGCACAGGGCAGAGGAAACAGAGCAGAAGGGAGACAAGGAGAGTGTAGGAAAGATCCCGGTTGTTGGCTTTGACAATTGGAGTATCTCTGTGCTTAATGAATGTTCCAAGCACAAAGACTGTGGTCAGGGAGAAAAGCAGAGCAGCTGAAGCTAAGCTGATTCCTAAAGGTTCTTCATAGGAGAGGAAAGTTATGACTTTGGGGATGCATTCAGTATGGTCTTCATTTGCATATTGATCTTCTGAGCATCTGAAACAGTCATTCATGTCTGGAAGAAAAAGAACAGATTTCAGTTCAGTTCTGAATGATATATTTTTTTAAAAAAAATGTGTGTGTATTTAATCCTGAAGGCTGCTACCTGTCATGATCTGATATGGAAATATAGGCTATATTTAATGGTCATCATAGCTTTTATATATTTCACATGTGAACCTAATGTCTGAAGTACACATTCAGAATGAGACTCAGCTTTACATCAAAAAGACATTACATTTTTATCTGGATAACATTCTCCAAATAATAATAACAACAACAACAGCAACAACAACAACAACAGCAACAACAACAACAACAACAACAACAATAATAATAATAATAATAATAATAATAATAATAATAATAATAATAATAATAATAAATAAAACATACAAGCACCTGCAACATAACACCCCAGACTTAACAATTGTCGATAAGAAAGACAAAAAAGTCTGGATAGTGGACGTGGCAGTGCCTGGAGACAGCAGAATAGACGAGAAAGAACTGGAGAAGATAACAAAATACAGAGACCTACAAATAGAAATAGAAAGACTGTGGCAAAAGCAAGCAAAGGTAGTACCAATAGTAAT